TCCAATTTAGGTCACGGTATGATATTTTAAAAAATAGGTATCTATCGTCGATTTATTATTGATAAATTGATGGATTTTTCCCTCAGTGAAACAAGATTATCCACTTACAATTAGTGTGGTAACTTTTGACCTTTTGATATTAGACAATGAAAACCTCGTAACTACATTTTAGTAAACACTACAATAATAATAAATAAATAATAAAAGGTTTAGCGAACCCGGCGGTTCACTGCCGACACCACCTATTGCACACCTCCCTCTACCGTTCGCCGCCCAAACCCAGTCACTTCAGATCGGCTATAATGCAATCTTCCCAACTTCGCTTCGGTCTACCCCTCGGACGTTTAACATTCGGTACAGCAAATATTAACCTTTTAGGAATTCTCTCGTTACTAAGACCAACAATTTTACAGGCCCATTTGATTCGCCGGGATGAAATCACCTCAATTATATTACCCGGATATAGTTCTCGCAATTCGGCGTTGTGTAACCGTCTGAACTCTCCGGTTAATTCATCCTTCTTCGGTCCGAATATTCTACGCAATACTTTATTTTCAAAAACCTTAAGACGTTGCTCACCCCTTAATGTAAGCGGCCACGTTTCGCAACCATAAAGAACTGTAAGTAAGACAATGGTTTTATAGATTCTAATTTTTAAGTTGCGGGACAAGAGGCGCGAGCTAAGTAGTTTTGTCACAGAAAAATAACAAGCATTTCCCGCCTTCAGTTTATCCTTAATCTTTTCTTCAATTTCGTTTTTTCTAGTTATCGTAGACCCTAGATACCTAAACTTCTCTATGAAACACTACAATAGAATTATAAAAAGTTTAAGAACTAATAGCAGTCCAATCTATAACGATTTGTTGGTTAAATATACAGAATTACTTTTACATCTCTCTGACCATATAAAGCTCAAAAATTGGAGTTTAATGTGGTTTACAAACACCGACGGAGTTACGAGGTATTTATTGCTTACCGTCGATATAATAAATAGGGATTGTGTTATTTTATATATTCTGCCTACACCCAGGCTCCTTAAATCATTTTCAACGTCTTCCAGCCAACGAAGTCTAGGCCTGCCTCTTTTCCTTCTTCCACCCAGATGTCCCTCCATCATCATTTTAGGGAGCCTACCATACTCCATTCCGTGCACATGACCCAACCATCTTATCCTTCCCCTCTTTATGGTGGATATAATGTCTGGAGCCTTATATAGCTTCTTCAGCTTGTCATTTGTATTCATACGCCAAAGATTTTCTTCTTCTACAAATTCTACGAAGGATTTATCTTTCCCACCTGTTCTATCGCCCCTCTTCATTGAATGTCCAGCACTCGCTTCCTCATATAGCAACTGTTTGGAGGACCGTCTTATATACTCTTATTTTGAGAGCTCTTGCTATATCATGACTTCCAAAGGATTTTCATAGGGAGCAATAACATTTATTACTAGCTGTGGTCATTGCATAACAGTGCCTAGATACCTAAATTGTGGTAATCTAAGTGTCTATAGCCTAGTGGCTAGCATCCTGTATTATGATTGTAAACGTAGCCAGTTCAATACCAAGTCCGATGTATTCTTTTTAAGGGGCGGGGTGGCCGAATGGGCTAACGTGTGTGCACAGCACCGCGAGTTGCCCGGCAACCAGATAACCAAATTTTGAGATTGAAAAAAAAATCTGTTGCGCGCAACACACAACTTTCACTTACTCTTTGAACTTTGATAAACTTTGAATAGGAATTATTTTCTGGCCATGTTATTTCTTAAGTATATTTTCTGACTTGTATTTCCAGAGATTCATTTTCGACCTGCATAAGCATTTTTATTTTTTCTTCTTAATTCAATTATCAAATTCTTTAAAAGTTATATTTAGCATTTTCTCGTAACTTTTGATAATGAGAGGTAGTTGATTATTTAAAATAAACCATATTACAGATACTTTAGAGGAAGACGCATATTTAGCGTTATTTATCGTAATGTTATTACTGTCAATAATAAGAAATAGATAATTATTTGAACAAAATTAAAGGTTCTTTAAAGGAAGAAATTTTGAACATTGGGCATTTAAGCCCTGTAAAGTGACATCAACGGAGATAAGACCTATATGATATTAAAGACAACTTAATTATACAATGATACACCGAGTTTAATCAAAATCGTTTGAGCCATTTTTGAGAAAATTGTAAAAATTTGTTTCAGCGTTGATATGAAGTGGCACTTCCGGTTAGCCGATTTTAAGGGAAAATTTGCCAGGACATCTGAGGCATATACCCATCTCAAATATGTAATGTCAGTTTCGTACGACTTTTTGGTATCGAGCTAGAGTATTCACACACACAGACCATTTTTTGGGACTTGGTTATTTGGACTCAGGAAACCTCAAAACGCGTATTTCCGGTGAAAACTCAGATTCAAAAATTTTCACGATTGCAATACTTACACTTACTATATATTATATAAAGTGAAAGTAAAAAAGTACGAGTTCGCGTCCCGATGCCAGAGGGGATTTTAAATTCTCCCCCTTCACTCTCCGGGCTCGGGAAAATCTCGTATAGCCAAGGCAAGGTAGAGAAGAACAGAAAAAAAATGCACTTAGTTTAAAATATAATGTGACTGTAATGGCAACTTTGTAGAATTTATAAATATATTTTTTTATGAAAAAAGATAGTGAGATAAATGTCATTTTTTTTCCGTCGGTAGAAATGGAAGTGTAATAATATTCCTAAGAAAGTAATTGAAAATTAAATTATTTTTATGAAGAGTTCTTCTTGTTCAATTTTATATATTGAAAAGAATAGCTTTAACCACATCACATCTCTATCCATTTATTTTCTTTTTGTGGAGTTTCCATTATACAATAACAATTTTCCATTATATAACTTTTTACAGTTTTTAAATTATTATATTACCACTATAACTTGCACATAAATGAATGGGTAGAGGTTTGAAGTCCTGTTATGAAAATTATTTCTTCAAGTGTATACAATTTTAAAATAATTTGTGTCAAAGTTAATGATACAAACTAGGAATATCGATAGTTTTAAAATTTACTTACTAAATATAAACTTTTAAGATTATTTTTAAGTTTGATTAACAATTATATAAACTCACCGAATCAAGGAAATGACATGAATTACAGCCAATGTCATTGTTATTGATGTTACAGACAATGTCATTGTACTTATGTGAAAGAAGAAGTGAAATATAAAAATATTTCATGGATGTGTAAAACATATGCTTATATTCTTAAGTACATTTACTGTAGTTTAATAACTCTAGATCTGATATTATATTTAAATAACAAAGTATACATCGTCGATTTATCACAAAACAAATTCCCTTTGTGAAATCACAACATTATACACTTAAAATAAGTACACTTTGACCTAGCGATGCTCCATTTAAAAGCAAGTAACTGTATTTTGATATGTTTTCCGATGACACATGGTTCGTAATAGTTAATAACGACCCATTAATTGCATCCCAAATCCTTCAATCACACATCACAAACCTTGAAGAATGGTATCAAAACTGGAGAATTAAAATAAATTTTACTCTTTACCCTTCGTCGTAAACCAATGACTTCCTGTTGCACAAATCCGTTACCTAGGACTCCACCTGGACGAACGACTCACTTGGAATCCTCATACCAGACTGAAACGACAAGAAACCGTTCGGACGTTCCCGACTACTTAATCACTTACTAAACAAACGCTCTAACCTTCCAATTAATTACAAAAGACTCATTTACATGACTATAATAAAACCTATTTGGACTTACGGAGTTGAGCTATGGGGCTCCACCAAACCTTCGAATTTCTCTCGTATCCAATCTTTACAATCCAAAATTCTTCTTAAAATCCTCAATGCTCCTTACCTGGTTACAAATAAAATCATCCATAATGACCTTAATGTTCCGTATGTTTCAGATTTGGCCCAACCCTTCCATAATAAACTTCAGAATTATCCCAACCGTCTTATTTCTAACCTTATTTTCTATTCAATGCCTGATAACACTCCGAGGCGTCTGGAAAGAAGATGGCCACGTGATCTCCTAATATACATATCATTAGAGTGCTACCAGTGGGTAGTTTCTCAACATGTGTTACATATCATTATATCCATGTACGAATTTACTAGATGTATTTATTTTTATACAGTTGTAAATATCATATAAATAATAATAAAAATACATGTAAAAATAGAGATTAAGTAACTTTCATATTTCTCTTAGTCCATAGAGCTCAGAGACTGGAGTTATGTGATTCAAGCAGACTAATGCAGTTACATCTAAGGTTTTTATATTTTACAATCGATATTATAAATAGGATTTATGCTATTGTGACAGTCTGAATGAGTTTTTGTATTGATGAGTATGACCGAAATCCAAAAATATGTTGTTTAAAGTTTAGCTCCATTAAAAATGTGCTTCAAAAATTTCTTGTAATAGCCTCTTTTTGTCAGACAAGAATTACTTATCGAAGTAGAGCTGTAAGTGAAAGTTGTGTGATGCGCGCACCAAATTTTTTTATTTTTATGTTCTTTCTATAAATAAATGGTTTAGGATAAAAAAAAAAATTAAATATAAAACTGTAAAATAGATTTATTTTGATAATTTAATTACAAATTATACATGGTTCTTTCAGCTAATAGGTTTCATTATAATATTGTTTTCATTTAAACTATTAACAAGAAAAAATCTCATTTGTTATCTATTTTCAATTTCATCTTGAAATTAGAAAAGAAACAGTTTCATGGTAACATTCGTTTTTGAGAGAAGATTTCCCGATGAATAATACTTGTCGAAACAATTCCAGTTCTATATATATTTACATATTTTACCTATTAAAAAATTTTTTTTTACAATCTAATTTTAATTTGCTAATGCCATGTAGAGACAACAGCACCTATGAGAATTGTTGAAGAGATGGGTCCCAAACAGCATTGTCTTCCAAACATTAAATATATATATATATATAGATATATATATATTATTGGAGCAGTTGAAATAATTATACTTTAACCTCCTTGAGGGGAATTTTCGAAAGGATTTGGTTTATTATTTCGCCAAATCCCTGTGAAAGTCCTCTTGATATGGCAGGGTTCAATTCGGTGATGATCTGTTCATGGTTTTCGTTGAGGAACGTATTCATGTTGTCTCCTGAAAATTAATTTCACAATTATAAAAATATATTTCATATATGTAAAGAGGACAGTCCCTGAAGAAGACATGCAAAGTCGGATCGAAACGTTAGCTTTTAATAAAATAGTTTTGCCACTATTTAGCCTATTTATGACGTTCACCCCGGACCATGTCCTTCCTTATATTTTATTTTATAAAAATAAAATGATTTTTCTGATATTTTTCATGTTAGGTTGTTATGAAATTGTGTTTTTTTCCCCCCCCAGATTTCTGTCATAGTAATTGATACGCATTTATAAGTGACTAACCTAATTTTTCTAGCCCTAATATTTACGTTTTCATGAAAATAATTGAAGTAATCAGTTGGTTTATTTATTTTAAACGTAAATTTAATTTAAAAACTTTAAATTTTTTCACTTGTAAATACATATCAGTTCCTAATGCAAAGATGATGTTAAGGAAGAAAAACAGAATTTAATAGCCAGTTCAGATGAAAAATATTTTTAAAAAACATTATTTTTGAATTTTCTAGTTTTATAAATAAAAATTTTATTTAGACAATTATGTTTATTACAATACATCCCAAATCATGGAAAAACAAGAGTTTTGCAACTGTTAATTGTAGTAATGTATGCTGAAAACATGGGTACTTTTAGGTGTATGGATAAATGTCAAAACTATAATTAAGATAGGGTGTAACAGTGCCCACTCAACATAGTCCTGCGTAAACAGAAAAACTTGAATGAAGACATTTTTGAAGGTTATTTTGTTTAAGTCCTCTACCCTATGTCTAACAACAGTCAATTTTCCGTGCAGACTATCGATATTTGCAGTATCATGATTAATTTTACAACTATCCTCGAATTCTAACCACTTTTGGTACCAATAAACTCTTTTAGTTATAATCTCTTTCGCCTAGGATATGTGGCAAACGAAAACCCGACATCTCCAGCACTTTCAAAATATAGTCGAAATGAATTTTAAGTGTGTAGGAGTATTCCCAACTTAATTAATATGAACTTCAAACTTATCAAACAAGAAAGTTTTATAAAAAGTAAGGTATTAGTATTATAGTTTGATAATTATAAAAAAAAAAATCGCGAATAATTTACGATTTTTTGAAAAACAAAATTTATCTCAACTCATCCATTCAAAAGTCCTCTTAAAATGGTTTTAACAATGACAAACTATATTTTCATTTTAAGTAAATTTGTCTAATTTGCAGTGAAGCAATGTTAAACTACTTAAATTAAGTATTTCTTTAGTTATTGCTTCTTATCACTAGTAGATCCAGGATTTAATTTCGAGGGTGGCTTCAGCCCAGAAGCTTTTTTTTTTTAAAACAGAAAGATTCTAACTACTTATATGAATTGGTGTTTAAGTGATTCTTGAAATCCTATTAAATGTAATTAAACGAGCAATAATACTTTAAGACATAATTTTTTACCATAAAACATGGTTATATTTTCCCATTTTGAGGGGGGGAGCTTTAGCCCGAAAGCCTCCTCCCCTCCATAAATCCGCCTGTGCTTCCTATTCTACGAAAAACATGACACTTAAAAACAAAAATTGAAATTACTACTTTTCTATTTAAAACTGAAAATTGGCTCGTTGTTTTATATGAACTTTTTTGTTGTTTTTGAGATCTGCTATCATTACGTGTATTAATAGGTGTTGTAGATTTCGCATTTAAAAGTGACTTATTATTTGGATATATTTCGATTCAAATTGGAATAATGTACTCACCCAAAGCCTTGTCTCCGTTGAAGAGGTTCAAGAAGTTGAAGATCGTCTTCTTCGGTGTGATGGTACACTCGATGGACTCTGCTTGCACGTATGGTTTTCCTTTGTTATCTATTTCCTTCAGTTTTATTGAAACCTTCGCTTCCGCGTCGACTGAAAATATTAAACATAGTTTAAACTTTGCTAAGAATATTATAATATATAAATAATCCGTCTTTTCGAAGGAATAACTCACGCATAGTGATATTGCTCTTTCCAGATCCGGAAATTGGCAAGACAAGAACTTTTCCGGAAATCGTGTAGTCACCAATAATCTGCAAGGAATCTACTTTGCCTTTGAAGCTAATAGTTTTCCAATCGTTCCTATAGAAACATTTAAAATAATTATTGTAAATGATATAGAAAAATATTTATCCTATGAGAAAATATAAGTATAATAATACACTAGTGAGCACGTGTGAACACACGATAGAAGTGAATACATCAACAAGACGAAATTAATAATATGAAATATAAATTATAAGTTATAGCTGATTAAAAAGAGGATAAAATGCTGATATATTTTAATTCATATGCAAAAACACTTCATTTGTTCGACTCCAGCCGACTTAGCCTGAGCGTTACACATCGGAGATCTGACGGCTCAATCTAATTCATTATCCACAAAAAAAAAGTGCAATACGAGTCTATAGCAGTTTTCACTTCAAAAAAGAACTCTTCAATCACACATCACAAATCTTGAAGAATGGAGTCAAAACTGGAGGATTAAAATAAATCCCAACAAATCACCTTTACCCTTCGTCGTAAACCTATGTCCTCCTGTCCGAAAGTATCCTTTAATAACACCCCACTTAACCCTGTTGAACAAATACAATATCTTGGACTCCACTTGGATAAACGTCTCACTTGGAATCCTCATATAAGACTGAAACAACAAGAAACTGCTCGACGTTTCCGCTTACTCTAACACTTACTAGACAAACGCTCTAAGCTAGCAATTAATTACAAAAGACTAATATACATGACTATAATAAAACCTATTTGGATTTACGGAGTTGAGCTATGGGACTCACTAAACCATCAAATTCCTTTCGTATCCTATCCTTATAATCCAAAATCCTTCGTGAAATCCTCAATGCTCTCTACTTTCTCGCAAATAAAATAATCCATGATGACCTTAATGTTCCATGTGTTTCCGATTTGGCCCAATCCAGATACCTATTCTTCCATAATAAACTTCATAACCATCCGAATCCTCTCGTTTTCTTGCTTCCTCTTCGATTTCTGATAACCCTCTGAGGTGTCTGAAAAGAAGATGATCTCGTGATCTCCTTATGTAGACATATTATTATTATTATTAGAGTGCTACCAGTGGATAGTTTCTCAACATGTGTTTCATATCATTATATCCATGTACGAATTTACTAGATGTATTTATATTGTAATACAATTTTGAATATCTTGAATAAATAGATAAAAAAAAAGAAAAACTTCAAAAAAGGTGGATTTTGAATTTTGTTCCCTGAAAAATTAGACAGAACGCTTTTTTATTTTTCGTTGTTTTTTTTTTTTTTTTTGTCATTTAGTACTCTCAGGTTGCCTTGAAACAAATCAATTCAAATAATACGTTTTTTTTTTATATTGGTGAAAGATTTGAGGAGAAAAAACTCCGCACGATAATCAGTGCGATCTGGAGAAGAAGACCAATAAATAACTGCTTACAGAAACTCGTCAATCAATATCTCATGATATGAAGACACGGAGGATATATAACAATGAATGGCTCATTAGAAAGCACAAGACCACGTGGAAGGCCTAAAGCAGATGGATAGATAAAATCAAGAAAGTTGCAACAGAGCTGCGTGCAGATAACTGGAAATAAATAGCCCAAGACAGGCAGGGATGGAGCAGACTTGTTAAGGCGACAAAATATATACAAGCTCTGTAATGACAACATAAAAAAAATTTAAAAATAAGATTTCATTATAACATAATTTATAATAATTATGTTAAAAAAACAAGCCTATCGGAAAAAAGAAAACAATTAAAGTATGTGCTTTAGACTACACAATAGAAGTAATCAACATGGCGAGATTAATTATATGAAGTATAAATTATAAATTATAGCTGATTATTTGGTTATCTCGCTACATCATGCAGGTCCGATTTTAATTTTCTGAGATATTTTGATCCATATATTCCCTAAAAATCGTTATCATTTGGTTTTCGACACTATTTTTTTTCTTTTTCGTCTCTCTAACACGGCGTCGCGTTAAGATACCATTCTGAATAATAGCTCATTACAGAGAGGAGGAAATGCTGAACTATTCCCACGCTTACAATATACAGGTACGATTTTTAGTTTTTGAGATATTACTTTCTCTTACCTATGTATGTAATATATAGTAATCGAAAGTATTGTGATCGAGAAAATTCCAAATCTGAGTTTTCAACGGAAATACACGTTTTGAGGTACCCTGATTTCAAATAACGAAGTCCCGCTAAATGGTCTATGTGTGTATTGGTTTATTATAAATAATAACTATTTCTCATTGTTATGAAAAAATGCTAAATAAAACTTTTGATAATACAATGTGGGAGAAAAAAAGAAAAATACATATCTAGTCCGGAAATAATAGTCAGAAGGTATACGTATAATATATATTTGGAAATCTAAGAATTGAAAAAATATATATATATCTAATATAGAAAATTGTAGAAGGTAACGGGAAATTAGAGGAAAAAATATAAATAATAATTTCTAAAAACTAACATTATTTTAAGTAAATCAAGTGTTTTCAAAGAAATTGAATCAAATTTTCTTACTAAATATAAAGTTTTAACATTTTTTTTAGTTTGAAAAATTATTAAAATCCACGGATTGAAGGTAATGACACTGTTCAAGATAATATTTCATTGTACTTGTGTGAAAGAAGAAGTGAAGTATAAAAATATTTCATGGATATGTTTATAACATTAAATACAGTTCCTGTAATTTAATAACTCTACATATGATATTATATTTAAATAATTAGGTATCTATAGGCCGTTTATTAAAAAAAAATCATCAGGTAACCTTTTAGAAAATTAAATTAGTGAATAATTTGATGAATTTTCCTTTTGTGAAATCCTAACATTATTCACTTAAAATTAGTGCGACAACTTTTGATCTATCCATGACAGGAAATGAAATCTCGTAATTTCATTTTGGTAAACTTTACAATGGAAAATAACCAATTTACTCGAACGTTTTATATCGGAGATCTGACGGCTCAATCTAATTCTCTTTCCACAAAAAGAAGGTGCAAAAGGCCCCTAAAGAAGTTTCCACTTTAAAAAAAAACCAGGATACTCACTTGGCATCGAAGATCTTGGCATCGGTCAACCCGCGGATCTCGGTATTCTTGAACTCCAGCTTGATGGCCACCGGTCCAGTGCCCTGGTCCACCATCAGCTTCTCGAACTTGAAGGGGTCCAGGGGGTTCACACCCAACTTCTTGTTACCTGCAACAACAGTCTGAAGTAAGTAAAAAAAAAAGGGTACAAATTATTTCACAATGGTTTATTATTTCCAAACAATTATACATCTAAAGTAACATTACCTTCCGAGTTACAAAGAAAAATAAATAAAAAGCGATTCCAATTATTAGACTAAACTTTTTTTTTTAATCATTATTAATATGCTAAAAAAGAAAAATAGCATTACTTCAGTAACACATTCAAAATTTAAAAACCAAACAAAGGATATAACATTTGGAATAGAACATATAAAAAAATAACTGGAGACCATATCTTTGCTCAAAATTGTCCGATTTTAACGATTTTTTTTTTTTTAGGAAATTCCTTAAAGTTTAAAAAAACCGTAACAACAAAACCATACAATATCAACAAAAAAGTATATACTTTTTGAGTTATTCAGAATTAAATTTTACCATCCCTCTTAACTTTTTTTCCAGCTTCTTTTCATTGAAGTATGTTATATAAATAAATTCAAACGGCGTCAAGAAAATGACTTTAGTGAAGTTTTATTGAAATTGGTGCATTCGTTTAGGAGCTACTGTCTATAGCAACGCAGATTTTTCGGATGTCGTTTTGAAAGTAAAAGGCGGATAGTAATGTCGATGAAGGAGGATCATCCTCGGGTGACCTCTGATTTTATATCAAAATTTGAAAAAAAAAATCGGTCCAGTAGTTTCGGAGAAAATACGCGGACGGCGGACGGACAAAAAAATTTGTACTTCGAATTCTACGTATCCTGAAACGTGAAACCTCAAATTTTGAGAAGATGTTAAGTTTTAGAATTTTTCGGTCGGCCACAATGGTTCATTTATTCAAAATAATAAACCAATAAATTCGATAAAAGAGTTAAGTTTCTGATAATTAAACTCATTTACAAATACCCACCATCAGAAATAAAGTTGTTTATATTAATGTTGAAAATTTTATATTAACGTTGTTTATTACAGTTTTCGGGAAAATCGTGAAATCATTTTTATCATAAAAGTTACTGTAAATACCAAGTATATTTCTTTCTTACCTTTTGGCAATACAGACAAATTTTACTTTTTTTTTACAGTTACGGTACATTAATATTAATTTATTTTTTATTTTTATTCGAATAAAAAAGCTTGAAAATACTTTAAATGTTTTTTTTTTTACCTAAGGAATGAGATCACCATTAAAACTCCTAAAACTAACGATTTTAGGAATAAATTTTCCTATTATTTCTTATTTTCTTAACTTTATTCATTGGGTGTTTTTACTAAGGAACCGATACCAAAATATACATCATTGTTTGGAAATAAGCGACTTTTATCTAAGATATCGAGTAAGTGTATATTTTTTATTTCTATGTTATATAATATCTGAACTCCAGCTTTTTTATTTATTGAACTAAGCTGTCCACACTCATCATTTCGGGAATTTTTTTAATATCTTATATAACAAATGATTTTTTTTTAAATAAAATTTACAACTGTATTACATTAAAAATACAACAAGTGAACGTGACATTTGTAACATGACATGTAAAACATGAAGAGAAACTACCCATTGGTAGAACTCAAATTGAAGTTCTATATTAGAAGGTCCCGAGACCATCTTCTTTTCAGACTCCTCGGAGGGTTATCAGGGATAGAGGAGGAAGCAATGTTTGAAACAAGAGGATTCGGATGGTTCTGCAGTTTGTTATGGAAGGATAGATATCTGGATTGGGCCAAATGGAAAACATATGGAACATAAGGTCTTTATGGATAATTTTTTTTTGTGACAAAGTAAGGAGCGTTGAGGATTTTATGAAGGATTTTGGATTGTAAGGATTGGATACGAAAGGAATTCGATGGTTTTGTGGAGCCCCAAAGCTCAATTCCGTAAGTCCAAAAAGGTCTTATTATTATCATGACAAAATATTAATGAATATATTCGTTGCCGTTTCGTTTATTAAATATTACATTTTAAGACAGAATAATTACTTACCACCCTTGAAGAAGTGCATAGCTTTCTCAATCTCTGAGTCGAGGCATTTGCCATAGTCTGGAGAAGATTGCTTGCATGGCTTCAATTCTCCGGCTGAAACAAAACACAAAATATTTCAAATTTCCTGAAAGTTAGCTTATGAATCAAAAATACTGAGGTAGGCATTGCTGCTAAGTCTATCAAATATTTTCACCTAAATTTTCCCTTAATTCTGCCATCTTTAACCCTAAATGTTTAATTATTATTATAATCAAAATTATACCTCTAGAAGAGGAATACCAAACCCAGTATCTGCATGACGTCACATGCTGCAAATCAGCTGATGGCTGCATTCCGCAGTATTGCTGTCCAATGAGTTTTTTTTTTTTTTTTTAATAACATATTTAACAAGTTAATATTGATATAATTATGTTTGTTTGAAAATAGTAATTATCGATATGATAGCTTTTAAACAATATTTTGCAATCCATCTTCTTTATTTTTCCAGAACACGTGTCATTATGTATGTAAATAGGCAATGTATGTAAATAGGCAATCGCAAAAAAGTTCAGCTCGTTTTTTCCTCGTTTCTAGGCCGATTTTCTGTTTTCTTTTCTTTTTTGTTTCCTCATTACCGAACTGCATTTTTCTCAGTAAAATCATTGGACGCTAAAAAAACCTCAAATGACCAAGAGTGGCGGTATATTACATAGATTACCCAATCAGCCGAAAAAAAATTTGTGAATCTATTGCAAACGAAGTAAAAACATACTGACATACCGTCCATTCTCCCGTTGGTAACAAATCCACGCCAATTCAATAATATCTAAAAACATCAAAGAAACAGGAGGAAAATATTCTGTCAATAAATATAAATAATTTTTTACAAAGAATTACGATTACTATTTTTTAAGAATCGAAAAATTTCACTCGCGTTTTACGTTTCAGACATCAAGGATCAAATTTGGTTCGGCTTCTGTCTGTAGTCAAGTCGATGTAACGGCTATATCACACACTATTGGTTATTCTATTTTCAGGAAATATTCGGATTGGTGTCTAGATGGTCGCATATCAATTACATCAAATTCCATCAAACATTTCCGTTTACAAATGTGTTTCTTTTGCGAAATTTCAGAAACGGCTCGTTCAATTTGACTCAATGTTGGAAGAAGGTGTTGGTAAAAATGCAACCTGGAAATTTTGACATCAATGATGCTCAACTGTCTAATCGCCCACATAAAATTGAAACGAGCAACGTTAAGGCTATTTTTGATCAAAATTCCACCCAATCAGTGCGAGAGAGTTCTATGGACCTAAATGTGTCGTACGCAAGCGTAGAAACCATTTGCACAAGCTTGGCTATGTTTCCAGGCTTAATATTTGGCTCCCTCTCTCTCTAACCTAAGTCAACTTACAAACACGCATTTCTGTGATTCACTACGGAAACGGCAACAAAACGATCTATTTTTAAAATAGGAGATGAAAAATGGATATTTTACGGTAATATATTCCTTAGAAAATCTTGGGGACCTAGTAGTGAGGTTCCTAGAAGAATGCCAAAACCCGGATCGCATCCAAAGAAGATAATGCTTTCCATATGGCGAGATATCAAGGATGTTATTTTCTATGAGCTATTGTCATCAGGACAAACAATTGATTCAACTCAATACTGCTCACAAATAACAAAATTGGATCAATCAATGAAAAATAAACGCCCAAGACAACGCTTGGCCCCACACCTCATTGGTCAATCGCAATAAATTATTGAGCCTTGTATGGGACCTTTTTACCCACCCTCTCTACTCACCAAACCTAGCTCTAAGTGACTCCCACTTATCCCATCGATCTCTGCAGAACCTCATGAATGGAAAGAAATTCGAAAAGGAAGAGGACATAAAAAACCACTTGAATAGGTTTTTAAACAATAAACTGCAGATATTCTATGCACCTGGCATTATGCAGTTAGTGGAAAGATGGGGAAAAGTCATATTAAATAATGGTCAATATATTGTAGATTATAATAAATATTATGTCTATAATACATTTTTATTTTGTTTTTTTCACTTAAGTTATTATTTCACCCCGAAAAACCGAAAGGACTTATTTGCCAACCCAATACTTTAATAAGCTAAAATTGTAATCTACTTTAAGATCGGATCCATGACTGTTTACGACTTCTTGATTACCCCATTACGTTTTATCTGCCATTGTTATCGTCAAGTTTACAATTTTTACTATATATTTTAATTCTGCGTCGGATCGCTCTTTATTTCCCAATATTTATGAAAATAATGGTGGATTTCTAAATTAAAAATAGCCGCAAAGAACGCTGAATTGACGAATCGAAACAGCGGTGACTTTAGAAATAGTACTTTTGCCTTTTTTTTTTTTTTCTTTTTCCCCTCCTTCGCCTCTTTAGCTATCTCCGAACCAGAGGAGAGGGCAGTTTTCAAACGATTAATTGTAGTGATTTTTGCACAAAACATGGGTACTTTAAGTTGACTAAATAGGAAATCACGTAATTTCTTTACACAACTTGAGGTGAATCTCAAATTTTTTCCTAATAGACTTCAACTTAATTAATACAGATTTAAAGATTATTAAACGAGGAAGTTTTTTTCTAAAAGAGGGATAAATAAAGTACAGTTAAAATGTGATAAAAAAAAAATCACATATAATTTTTTACTTTTTTTTTTGTTTTAATGAAATTTACAATTGTATTACATAGAAAATACAACAAGTAAATATGACATTGCTAACATGACTTGTACAACATGAAGAGAAACTCATTGAAAGAAAAGTTGGTAGAACTCAAATTAAAGTTCTATATTAGAAGGTCCCGAGGCCATCTTCTTTTCAGTCGCCTCGGAGGATTTTCAGGGATCGAGGAGGAAGCAATATTTGAAACGGGAGGATTCGGATGGTTCTGCAGTTTGTTAGAGAAGCATAGGTATCTGGATTGGGCCAAATCGGAAACATATGGAACATTAAGGTCTTTATGGATGATTTTATTTGTGACAAAGTAAGGAGCGTTAAGGATTTTACGAAGGATTTTGGATTGTAAGGATTCGAGAGGAATTCGATGGTTTAGTGGAGCCCCAAAGCTCAATTCCAAATAGGTCTGATTATTGTTATATATACGAGTCATTTGTAATTGATTGAAAGCTTAGAGCGTTTGTCTAGTAAGTGCTGCAGTAATTGAAAACGTCGAGCGGTTTTGACTTTTTTTAAAACCGAACTTAGCTGTGTTTGTTCGACTAATAGTCCTCTTTAAATAGTTTTAACAATTACAAATTGTTATTTTTATTATAAGTAGATTTTGTCTAGTTTACTTTGGAGCAATGTTTAATTATTTAAATGAAACATTTTTTAAGTTATCGCTTTCTATTGAACAAAAAATGTGACTCGCTTGGAAAAACACAAATCATAAATTTCATACTTCTCTGCTGAAAATTGGTCAATTTTTTAAATGAACCCTATGTAGCGAGGAAAAAAATATTTATATGTATATATATATATATATTCCAAAACGGACAGAAACCGCAATCCCACCTTCCACTTTGAGTGCAAATAGTCTATTATTTTCGAAGTAAATTATACAATAAAAAAACATATAGATATGTTAATTAGCTATAATATAATATGTTAATACTGTTCGTAATTCATATCGATTTTAATTAACCACTCCCTCTATTTTTTTTTTCTTCCCGTCGTCATTAATACAGCTCTGTAATCAAATAATTTAATCTGAAATAATTATTTTGATTATGATTTGATAAAACATGGATTTATATTTAATATAACTTCTAATTAAATTAAACCACTATTATGCTGTCTAAGCATGATTTATTAGCTAACCACTATTTTCTTGTTCTTAAGCGCCATTTTATTTTTGTGACCTGAGGGACTTCTCAGTTAAATTGTCTAAGTGACCTAAGACATTATATGTTATTTTATTAATTTTTTCCTGCCTTTATAATTGACATCCGTACTGTACAGATATTGGGGTTCGATGACGATCTGGATATCGTAGCCAGGACCCGATCGCTTCAGCCATGGCCATAAACGAGAATAAAACGAAATGTATGCACACAGTATGGCGACGATGCACTGATTTTTGGCCCTTAAACATTCCAAAGGGTGAACGAATGTGTAAGGACCAAGCCAAATGTAATCGAATATTTCCTTCGAAACATATGATTTACTTTAAATATTATTAGTTTTCAAACATTATCATTTGCCACTATCCGTTACCTTCTACAACTTTCTATATTAGATATTGTTTTTTTCTGAAATTCTCCGCTTTCCAACGATATATTATACGTATACCTTTTGACTAGTATTTCCAGAGATTCGTTTTCGACCTGGATTAGGATTTTTATTTTTTTCTCCTTTAATCAAATATCATATTCTTTCAAAAGTTATATTAAGCATTTTTTCGTAACTCTTAATAATTAGAGATAGTTAATTATTTAAAATAAACCATATTAAATGTAATTTAGAGGAAGACCCATATGAATATAGGTCATTTAAGCCCTGTAAAGTGACATCAACGGGGATAAGACCTAAATGATATTAAAGACCACTTAATTATACAATGATACACCGAGATTACTCAAAATCATTAGAGCCGATTTTTAGAAAAATGTATTTCAGCGTTGATATAAAGTGGCACTTCCGGTTAGCCGATTTTAAGGAAAAAGTTGCTATGACATCTAAGGCATATATCCATCTCAAATATGTAATGTCAGTTTCGTACGACTTTTTGGTATTGAGCTAGAGTGTTCACATACACACAGACAGGTACTTTAGAGGAACACGCATATGAACATTTTGAGAAAATTATAAAAATGTGTTTCAGCGTTGATATAAGGTGGCACTTCCGGTTAGCCGATTTGAAGGAAAAAGTTGCTTCACATTTAAGGTATATATCTATCTTAAATACATAATATCAGTTTCGTATGACTTTTCATTTTTTAGCTAGACTGCTAACATACACACACACACACACACACACAGGCACACAGACCATTTTTCGGGAATTTGTTATTTGGACCCAGGGTACTACAAAACTATTTCCGTATTTCCGTTGAAATCTCAGATTCAAAAATTTT